TTACATATAGACCCCTTACATGTTCAGACGTTAAAGCAACTCAATTTGGAGGACAAAACAAAAGAATTTCGATCTCCTGAGATTTGGAAACCTATTGTTATTGTTTTGTCCTCCAAATGTTTCAAATATGAGTTGCTGTATTCTATTGGGGTTTCAAAATCCTCATGGAATTTGAAACCACAATAGAATACAGTGACAAGTATTTGACACGACATCTTATACTCTTTTTGTTATGTTCGTTTTTATTTCAAAGTTCTAGTACTTTGAAATATTTCAAAGTCCGAGTAGTAGGACTTTCCTAGAACTTTGAAATGGGTGCGGTGGTAATTGATGAGGGTTTCAAACTACTGCACGGGGTACAAATAAGAAATCCTGGTTGGTCGATGAGCTCATGCATAATTAATGAGTATAAGATCTGCATTCCGACRTGCTGCAAGGGGTCTAATCATGAATGTCATACTCTKGGGAATGACACGTGGTATGAAATGTGAAAACATCATGCCAAAGCTAAAGAGATCTACAACAGTGTACCTCTTTTGCAGAGATGAAGAATACTCTGTCTTCAGCTTGAGCTTTGTCAACACACTTGAGTTCATCAGTCAGAAAACTGACACAGCGCTCAAGGTGTTGTTTTTTTACCTGTTAATACAACAACAATAAAAAAGGAAAACTTTTCATCTGGGTTATCATTGTCGTTATTATCTATTGTCATAGTAGTAAATGTTAATCCAGGTCATGAATCTTTATCATCATCATCATTCAGCGTCATGGTTGTGGGTAGAAAAATGCATCGAAACTTTTGTTATGGTTGTCAGAAGTTATCATCATCATCATTATCACCATTAACACCATCATCATCATCATTACCACCATCATCATCATCATCATCACCCCCATCACCATCATCATGAACATCTTCATCACCATCATCATTATCATCATCATCACCATCATTGTCATCATCATCGCCATCATCATCAACTCCATCATCATCATCATCATCATTATCATCATCATCACCATCATTATCATCACTATCATCACCATCATCATTACCATCATTATCACCATCATTGTCATCATCACCATCATCATCATCTCCATCATCACCATCGATCACCATCATGACAAGTAGTTATACTTACAAGGTCCATCAGTTCTTCATCAGCTTCACCAGCTGACGCATCCCATCGGTTATTAAGAATAAAAATATTGGGCCTGGAAAGTTTTTGGTTGACTTTATGAAAAAAGTTTTTTTCCTATAAAAATGGGAGCACAGGGTTAACT